AGGCTCGTTGTGGTTGCGCCGCCCGGCAGGGGGAGCGCAGGTGCGGGACGAGCCTCCGCGCTCCAAACCTCCGGCTCCTCCGGGCCCCGGTGCGGCGCAGCTGCCGGGGGAGCATCCGGAGCTGAGCGCCTCGGGTTGCTGCCAGCGGGACGTTGAAGGGCTGGCCGGGGACGACCCCCTCCCTGCCGCTAGGCCTGCAGAGCGGCTCCCGCCGGCTCCCTGCGCAGGCGAGCGGCAAGCCCGGGGCTGGCGCTGGGACGGCCGAGGTCGTGGGAGGCTCAAAGCGGCTGGGCTTCGGGCCCGTGCCGGTTGCTCTGGCGCAGCTGCAGGGCATTCGTGGGAGGGGGACTCCGTCAGACACCCTAACCCTATGGAATTATGCAGAATTTCCAGCCCTATTTGAAGATGGGAAGAAGTTGGGGAAAAAAGTCTTTTGCTAGCCTTTTCTCTTAGACCATCAAGGGACATTTCAGGTGTTTTCAGCCGAAATAACTGCTTCCTCCCCAGTTATTTGGAAAAATCCTCTTCGAAGCCTACCCTTTGAAGCAGAGCATCCCCAAATCCTGTCAAATGTGCTCAAGAAATGCCAGGCGAAGGTTCTGCCTTTAACTAAAGGCAAGTGACTTTCACATCCAGGTTGCACTGTGAGCCCCGCATTTGTTTCCGATGTTTCAGGCTCTTGGCTAATAGCAAAGCTGCACTGCAACCCCCCCCCCCCCCCAATTTCACCAGAGGCCTTTCTGGTCAGACTCAGCCAAGGAATGGCCTTTGCCCACCAGGGCTAGTTCCAGGGGCCTCCCCCCTCCCTCGAATGGGTAAAAAAACCTGGTGGTATCTGCTGCTCCCTCTTTTGCTTCAGGTCCCCCCTATCTAGTCACCTCAGTCCTGACGCCCCTCCAGGACAAAGCCTAGCACAGTGATGGCGAACCTTTTAGAGACCAAGTGCCCAAACTGCAACCCAAAACCCACTTATGCATCGTGGGGTTCCGGGTGGGCATGGCCCATTGGGTGGGCATGGCTGCAGTGATAACGGCAGACTGGGTGGGACTAAAAAGTGCAATCAATCAATTCCAACTTTGCAAGATCTTTTTTTTCCCTGCAAAAAATTGAAATTGAGTGATTGATTGAACTTTTTTTTTTTTNTTTTTTTTTTTTGCACATGGTGGCGGAGGCCTAAAGCAAAAAGGTTTTATAAAACCCAGCTGAAGGCCTAGGACTGGGGCGACGGCACGTGTGCCCACAGAGAGGGCTCTGAGTGCCGCCTCTGGCACCCGTGCCATAGGTTCGCCACCACTGGCCTAGCAGATTTTGCACACCTCTGCTCTGCCCTCGCAAAGCACCGGAACAGGGGACCTCAGGAATGCTGTGGGGACATCGCAGGAAAGAGGCACCGGCAGGGCCCTGGGGCTTTGTTTCTTCGCAGCGAGAGGAATAATGGAGGCCCTGGATAGCCCTGCTGTGGCTGGACTTCCATCCCGGCCTCCTTTGGCCATCAGAGACAGGTTTACTACTGACATGCAAGTATGTCAAGAGCCGGCCTTCCTTTTGCCTCTGTAACACTGTTTATCTCAAAAAGGCATCTGAGGCTTCTGTGAAAAGTTGATTTCATTCCTGCCTGCAAAGCGAAAGAGCCAGCCGTGCCTGGCATCCATCACCCTCTGGCCTTTTCCAGAGTTCAAAATGCACTCTCTTTGTCCCATCCACTCAGGACACACATACAAACACACGGCAGAGCTGTGTTTCACACGGAAGAAAGCTTTTGCATGTCTGGTGCTGCTGGGTTGGCTGCTCCTTCTGTTATGGCAAGATGGCACACAAGGGAAAATGGAGGCAACCATTTCTTTCTTACTTGTCTAAAAGAGAAACTACCGTATTGGTAAATGTAGATCACAGGCAAGTGATCCTGATTAAAAATGTGTCCCAAACATTGATTCTCACGGACTTTTAATGTCAGCAAAACTACTATTCAACCAAACACATTTATTTATTCTGTCTTCTAATTCACTGCAGGTTTTTGGAGAGTGGAGGAACATGAGAGCCACACAGCGCTGGTCTGCCACTACCGTGGGAGCTGGGGGGCTCTGGGAAAAAGCTGGAGCTGCTTGAGGGAGTTGTTAATCACCCTTAATCACTTTCTTTCTTTCCAATTTGGAGAGCTGCACAGCCTTGTTATTTTCTCACTCCAGGTTCCTCTGGCTGCAAAATCATGAAACCCATTTATTTGCCTTTTCAGTGTTGATTTAAGAATTACAGGTTCCTCTTTAACATGTTCTCAGAGCGGTTAACAGGATCGTAATTTAACTGTAAACAGTACAGTAAACAGTAAACCCATTGGTAAGGAAACAGGACATTTCTAGCCAAGTGCACACAAGCCTGAGCAACACTCATTTGCCTCTGATCCAAAGGCTACGCTGAATGGGAAGGATGTTTGGTCAGTCTGGAGGGTGGCACAAATCACCTGAAGTGCACAACTGAGCAATGACAAACAAATCACATTTAAGAAAAAGCATAGCCCTGCCTCACGTAAAACCCAAAACAGACTCATATGAAGGATTGCCTGATCCAACATTCAAACAGGGGCATTACTCCCAAGGTTGCCAAAGTTAAAACACAAAGGGGAATGCTCTGACTTAATTAGTTCATGAGAAGGATGTTCAGATTAAACTCTCCCAAAAGCTGTGGAATTTCTGCAACAGCTCACTAATGTGAGGGGCACTGACCCACCATTCATTCATTCATTCGATTTAGGGACTGAGCAACTGCACAAGAATCTGGATGGCTCTACAACATTAAAAGCAGGAAAACAATAGGACAAAGATCATGCACATCCAGAAAAAGAGGGATGCAGGTTGTCTTTGCTTTATGACCATTCCTGTTTAGTGACTATTTCAAGGGATAACGGCACTGAACAAGGAAGCTTATGACCAGTCCTTATAGGTCCACATCTCTTCTGTCACGTGATCACAATTCAGGCACTTGCTAAGTGGCAATTATGGACTTTACTGCAATTACGACAGTTGCAGCATTTGGAGGTCCTATGAGCAACTACACGGAGGCTTCCTAGGAGCCAAGTCGATGGGGAAGACAGCAGGAGTGCCGAGAGCACCAAGAATCTTGAAAGCCTGGCAGTCTCTCTCTCTCTCCCTCTTATACCAGAGAGAGCCAAGGCAAGGTAATCTAAAGTTTCTTCCTTCTGTCTTTCTGGGTTAACAGCTGCTGCATATTTTTCAAGGCTACCTCTGTACTCCTCTATATATCAAAACAATTCTTTGATACCATTTCCAACTTATTTATTTTTAAAATTTGTATAAAATTTATATTTGCAGACAACCAGACAGTCTCCATCAGTGGGCTCAGGTAGTTGAGGATCCCTTGAGGAGCATCCTATCCGATTCCTTGCAGGTTGCAGGGCCAAAAGAATCCCAAATAATGTAGCAAGATGGCCAGTCACGTTCTGCTGGTTGGTCACGGTGGCCCAGAGGCAGCACCCACTGGAGAGCTCTTTTCCACAGGAGAACCAAGCACCTGAATAAGGGCCTGACCTCCCTCCGTGGACCCCACTGGCTATCAGCTATATTTTACTACGAATTTCAGCAGTATCTCTAAACTAACTACTCAAGAAAAGCCGTCGAATGTGCAATTTAAAGTTTAGACTGGAGAAAAGTGATACTGTAAAATATAATGACCAGGAAGGTTACAATTTCTCACACCTAATTTGAGAAGCAACATTAACAGGATAAAACAGCATAACGAGTTTTTCACAGAAGCCATGAAAACGGTGTTAGAAGATTTAGTGTCCACATTACAACCTCAAGTTACCAGGAAGGTCAGCTTGTGATGATGCACAATAAGGTACCAGCACAGTCGCGGCAGCCGATGCCCGGCGGCTTTCGCATCCCATTTCCCCCTCCCCCCTCCAGGGCTGCAGAGGATTTGGGTACTCGGGACTCGTTCCGAGGACTCAATTTTTAAACTCAGAATAGAGTTGGAGGGGACCTCGGAGGTCCTCCAGTCCGACGCCCTCCCCCCCCCGCTCGAGCAGGAGACCCCGGGCCGGCCATCCCGCACAAGCGGCTGTCCGGTCCCGCCTTCAAACCCTCCAGGGATGAAGCAGCCAGAGCTTCTGGAGGCAGCTTCCGTTCCATTGGTTGATTGTCCTCACTTGTCAGGAGGTTTCTCGCTCCAGGACCCATGTTCCCCAGCCGCCCTTCGCTCCTCCTCCTCCTCCCAGGGATCCCGCGGCAGCTCCGAGGCTCCTTCCCGGGCGGAGGAGGGCAGGTGGCAAAGGGGCGCCGGGCAGGGAGGCCACGGATACGGGCAGCTTCGGCCTCCTCCTGGGCCAGGCGGTCAGCAGCCTCGCCCGTCCCCGCTTCGGCCACACCGCCAGGCCGCGCAGAAAAGCCCGGCTGTCGCCTACCAGCCCCCGCCCCGCCCCGCCCCGGGCGCCTCCGCTCTGTCCTTGGGGGGGGAGGCCGGGGGGGCTCCGGGGGAGAGGACCGAGCGGGGGGGGTCCGGGGGGTCCGGCCCCCGCCCGGCCTCCCCCGCGCCCCCCACCCCCAAACGCCTCCCCCGGGCGCTGGCAGGAGGAGGAGGGGAAGGGGCGGCGCCTGGGCCGGAAACGTCCATGGGGAGGCGGGCTCGTGCCGCGGAGGGCGGGCGGAAGCGCCTCGGCGAAGGGCCCCGGCCACCTCCGCGCGGACACGGGAAGGGGCGGTCGTTTGCATCCGAGCCACCAATCCGGCCGCGTTGTCGCCGCGGAGCTGCCCGCCATTGGCTGGATCCTGGAGTTGCGCCTGCGCCCTGCGCTCGTTCTGGGCAGGCCGGCCACCCGCCGCTCGGGCAAGATGGCGGCGGCGGCGTTGGATGCGCCCGGGGGCGGAGGGGCGGCGGCGGGAGCGACAGTGGCGACGTCCGGACGGTGATGATCCGCAAGGCGGCCGCCGCCTCCTCCTCCTCCTCCTCCTCCGGCGGTGGCGGCGGCTCCGCGGAGCTTCTCCGGCATGGCGCGTCTCGCCGACTACTTCGTGGTGGTCGCCTTCGGCCCGGGCAAGCGCGGTGAGCGACCGACCGACCGACCGAGCGACCGAGCAGGGGGAGCAGCCGGGCGGGGGAGGGTTTCGCGCTCCCGGCGGGCGGGGGCGGGGAGGATTCTCTCCGAGTAACGAGCAGCCGCGGCGCCAAGGAAGAGGAGCCGCCGTCGAGCCGTCCGCTTCCCGGGTGCCGGAGGCTCCGCTGGTTCTGCGCGGCAGCCGGTCTTGGGGAGCCGCGCGGCTTTGGAGGCCTCCCGCGGCGCTGCCCGGAAGGCCCGGGGCTAGGCTGGGATTTCGCACCCGGACGCTCGGCGGGCGCTACGAAGAGGCGCCGGTCGCCGCCCGAACGCCCCCAGGGCTCCCGGGGAGGGAGGGAGGGAGGGGGGCAGGGCTCGCAGTTCCCCGTCTGCGGCTGGGCTGTTCCCCCCCCCCCCCCCGGTCTCCCCGGGAGCCAGAGGGGGACGGCGCGCGGGCGGCGGCCTTTGCGGCTGAAGGCCTGCTCCGGGGCCGCCTGCTCCGGTCTCTGGTGGCGGAAGGGCTCCGGGTGGGCCGGAGGGGCCCCGGGGGCGGTGGGCTGCCGGGCTGGGCTTTATGGGCGAGCGAGCCTGCGGGATTCCGAGGCGGGTTTCGGTCCTTTCGCTCTGAACGAAGTAGAAAAGAAGGGAACCGGCGGCGGCGGCGAGGAAGCCGCCTCCTTGCATGCCCGTCCTCTGTCCAGGGACCGAGGAGGAGAGCCTGGCCGTCTGGAGGGGAACGATGCTTTGCCCCCGCCCTGCCTCCGCCCAGTCCGGCCGGGAGTTTGCGAACGTTTCGCTTCCGCCGTTGGGTCAGGAGCCTTTCGCCGATGATGCGCTGCCTCAGTTATTTATCCGAAGGGCGGCTAGTTGGCCCCGGCCTTGGCCTGGTTTCACTTCCAAAGTGGTCGTGAGGCCGAAGCCAGCGATGCGCTCCTGCTCTGAAGCAGGCGGCCCAGCCCTCGTGGTCGAGCGAGCGAGCGAGCGAGCGGCGGTGCTCGGCCTGCACGGGGCGTCTGACAGGTTCAGCTTCCTGCTTCATGCGGGAGGACGGGAAGCAACTGAGCACTTCGCACCAAGATGCTCTCTTAACCACAAAAGAGGGAGGAAATGAGGCAACTCAAGAAAATTCAGTTTATTAGCGACCAGATTTAATATAGCAGAAGGTTGGAAAACTGCAGCACAACTTTTCTTGGGTCAATGGTATTTAAAAGTGTGGGGAATAGCATTGACTGAAATACAGCAGCATAAAAATCTTTATTTATACATGGCCTCGGTGTTTTAGTCCTACCAAGAAAGCAGTTCCCAAAAGCTCAGTTTCTACAATTGTCTTTATAGAAAAAAAATGTGGATACTTCTTAAAATTACAAATTCAATTATATTTTCCCGAATTATCCATTTTGTACTTCTATGTAGTTTCTGTTGCTACTTAATTCTTGTTTGGGGTTTTGATTTTGTTCATTTTTTCCCTATATATTTAAAGAAATAATTAAAAACAACTAGTGAGAAGAAATTAGAATTAGGTAAAACGGTCTCTTTGTCAAGCCCAAGTGGTGTGTTAAGGCCCTGAGATCTGTGCTTTCCTTCTGCTCATTTAACAGACCTGTCAGATAAACTATCCTGTAGTATTGAAGTTAGATAACAGGCACAGAAAGCCAAAGAGAGTTTTCAAACAATCTCTGACCTGAAAAGGAAGCTCGAATTGGTGTGCTAAAGCAGGGGTCCCCAATCCCCGGTCTGTGGACCAGTACCGGGCCGTGGCATGCCAGCAACCGGTCCGCACAAACAAGCAGTGCCCCATCCATGGGATGCAGGCAGCACACAAAACCACGCACCCTCCGGTCCTTGGAAAAACCTCTGTACACGGAACCTGACCAGATGAGGATTCAAAGAGCAGGACCAGCTCTAGAAATGCCACACACACACACACCGGGGGGGCAAAGTCATATTCTTGAGTCTCTGTTCTCTGTTCTGACGTAGACTTGATGATACATAATCATTTGGAAATTAAAGTGGTTGGTGTTGAATCAATGATTATCAGCTCTTACATGGTGATGAGTCCTGGAAATTATTAAATATTGTTACTATAACATAGTAGCTGTTAATGCTCTTTTAACACAATATACAGGGAGAGTAAAACTGTTTAGTAAATTTGGGGGTTATTTCATTAGCTATAATAAATATATTTTAGGTAGTATCAAAGGTATCAGAGTCATTGGGAGTCTGCTGGCATATAAATGTAATAAATTATCAGTAGACATTTATAAAGGAATCTTATGTATTGTTTGAATTCTTTTAAGTACTTTGAAATCTTTCAATGAAAAATCCATTGTTGAAGAGCTGAGTATCAGATTGTAAATTTCAGGTTAACGTTGACATTAATAGTTAAGTGCTGCAGAGAATTTATAGGGAATAATATTGTTAAAATAAGTGTTACTTCAAGACTAATATTTTTACCATTGGAAGAATTAGGTATTTAAAATATTTTGATATGATGTTGAGAAAGGGTTAGGGTTCAATAGGATGGACAATCTTGGAGGTCATTCTTATCTAAATGACAAAAAAAATTGGGGCGGGGGAGGAAGGCCAATTTTCCCAATTTCCATTTCCATCACTGTACTTATATTTTGAACTTTTTTCCTGTGGAATCTAAATGATTCTCCCCAAAGAACTGTGGGCCCAGCTAGAAAGTTATTATTTGACTACTACGCAGATGACTTGCAAGGTCTTGACTTCGCTGTTAACCAACAGTGAATTCTCCAGCATTAAAAAAAGTATATTGGGACAAATCTGAGAAGGAAGCTGAATTCCTATGAGAAATTGTGGAAAGGGTAATCCTTGACTTATTGCCAGAACTGGGACTAGAATTTCTATTGCTAAATGAGGCAGTTGTAAAGTGAGGCATTGTGTGACCACAATAGAATCGTGGTGAGGAAGAGTGATTGTGCCCCAAGGGGGAAGGCCCTGGAGGCAGGGGGCAGGTCATGCACAGCCATCCTTGGAAGCCTCACCTGCCCCAGCTCAGCCAAACCGCTTCCTGCCTTCACCGTTGCTGGGCCTTCATCTTTGGTCCATGTTGCCGAGCAACAATAATTCATTGAACAAAAAAACGAGGCTTGCTATGAACCACCTTCTCTAACCAGAACTGACCTATCCAGTGTGTACGTCCCAGGACAAAACTCCTTATAATCCCACATTTTTTGTGAGATAAGGGAGTGGTGGGGTGAAGTAAGAAAGTCTCGTTCTTCCATCACGACCCCAATATTACAGAACAGCCTCCCTTAGATGTTAGATTAGACCACAGTTTAATTAGTTTTAATTAAAGACTGGATTATTCTGGAGGGCCTTTAACAGTTCAATGTTGTGCTACTCTTCTACTCACTATGAGATGCTGTGTACCTCTCGTGTTGTTGTAGGGATTATTGAAGGGAGGTGTTCTGACAATAGGCCATTGTTTTTTGCTGTTATATAATGCCATGAATATTTCACTATTCTGGGGATTTAAATATTTTTATTTTGGATGTTTTATTTTTTGTTGTTACAAAAATGTACATTTTAAGTGTTATAAGCTGCCATTTTATTTAATTATTTAGCATATGGCAATGAGCTGAAATGACATTCACAACATATACAGTTGATAGGCACAGTGGATATAAAAAGTTTACACACCCTTGTTAAAATGGTTTTTGAGATGTAAAAAAAAATCAGACCAAGATAAATCACTTCAGAAGGTCATGAAGGTCTGGCTGAGGCGGGAGGGGGAAGGTGGCCTCTCCCACCCCTCTTTGCCTGGATGGGGCAGTTTGTGATGTGGAGGGCGGGAAGGAAGGAAGGGTGGCTGCCGTCGGGAGGAATAGCATCTCGCTGCTCCGGCATACTCATTTTGAGAGTTTGCAATTTCATTGGGATGGTGAAGACAATACAGAAATGTCTCCCCTCTGCCCAACAGGTTTTCTTTCTGAGCAGGCCAACGTGGTGAACTGTGGTGTGGCAGAATGTGGATTTTGTTAGACTTCTTGTCTTTGGAGAGTTTAATGTTTGTGCTGACGTGACTCGATTAAAAGAGACAGGTGACCTCATCCTGTTCCAACTGTCCCTATCTGGCTCTCCCGGGACACCACGGGACACACACGGATGCATGGCACTTTCTATTCTGCTTGGACAGAAAAGGTTGGGGGTTGTTTCTGTATTTCCATTCACTTTCTACGCATTTAAGTTAACCACCTGAAATCACAGTAGCCCCCACCCTGTGGAGCTTCAGAAGAGCCATTAAAAGCTGGCTTTTAAGAGAATCCTGAAAATGGGGGTTTGTACATCTTCATCCTAGGTACCAGTTAAGGTGTTCCTAGATCAGGAAGCGTTATGGATGGTTCATCGTGCTTCTCATTTGAATTGGCGTAATTCACTCTACGTGGGACTGCCCTTGAAGACCATCTGGAAATTCTGGCTGCTCGTCAATGCTGCAGCGCAATTAGTAACAGGCTCAGCTAGTAGTGGTGTGTGACAACACTACTTCAGGAATGGCACTCGCTTTCAGTCGGTTTCTGAGTGCTTATTGTTCTGCTTGGAAACATTAAAGCGCTTCATGAATTAGGGGATCTGGATATCTTGGAGTAAAATCTGCTCCCTCAATGAGATCCAGGAAACTGGCCCTGGGTTCCAACTTCTGGGGAATGTTGCTACTAGAGACTCCAAAGGTGGCAAGCTTTTCCCGTGGCCGGCCCCACCCTCTGAAGCAGCCGAGCCCTGAAGAAAGGCCAGGAAGGCCTGGAGGCTCTTCTGGAGCGCCCTTGGGGGTTTTCCTGAAGAGATGGTGCCGGGTATCTGTGGTTATTTTGAGGGACTGATGTATTGGCCTTCAGTGTCATCCATCATCATACCCATCTGGGTCAGCTTAGGGCAGTGATGGCGAACCTTTTAGAGACCAGGTGCCCAAACTGCAACCCAAAACCCACTTATTTATCGCCGGGTGCCAGGTGGGCGTGGCCCACTGGGAGGGCGTGGCGCTGGT